AGCCATTTTTCTGTCGATTATACTAGTATAATCGACAGGAAGACTGTCGATTATATAAATTGTCAATTATATTAGTTAAAATCACGTATAATCGACAAATAATTATAATCGTCAAAAAAGATGTCGATTATAGTAGTATAATCCACAGAAAGATGACTGTCGATTATAAATTTGTCGGTTATACTATGTTTTTTAGTAGTGTCTATTCCTTTCATTTTTCTTCATTTGGATAAGTAATTAAATTAAATGAAAAAATAAAATGAAGGAAAATTTTTCCCCTCTAATTTTTTTTATTAACTAAATAAAGTTTTTATTTTCTCTCATCCATTCTCCACAACCCAAATATATTATAGTGTATCTTCTCACAAACATTTTTACTCTTTTGTTTTGTAGGCGAGATCATTTCACAAGGCCTTACTACATATTGGTATATATGCACCTAAACTAAAAAACAAGTAAATAAGCCTTTGAACTGCACAAATTGCAGCCAATTAGCTTTTGTTAACAGGTAAATTAAAAAGAATGTCTTATGTCAATGCATTAAATGTGACAATCAAATGAAATCAACAACTAAGCTGAAATTATTAATTTTCTTTTAATTGTCAGACAAATGTGTATTAATGAAAGTGATTTCTTTTATTAGCCACATCTACTAAAATTAGCAAAAACTATCAATAGTGCTAATTTGCTCTAAATGGATGGTTAAGGGTTTATTTGCTTGTTTTCTTAATTAAGGGATGGATTTGCCAAAATAGGGCGAATTTGAGTGCTTAATGAATGGTTTTGCCTTGTTTGTGGATTTACTTGAAATTCTGACATATGTAAATAAATAAAATAAAACTTTTCAAAGGATTTTTACCCTTCTTTTAAAAAAAATAAATAAATTTGTAAGGGTCAAATTCAAAACATTACCTTGAAATGAAAGAATGCATTTATATATAATCTAACGCGAGAGTAGTCCCAAGTGCAAGGATTTTTACCCATTTTTTACATTATATTTGTGGAAATTTTCATATACGGAGAAAATTTCATAAAATTTTAATTTATTTTTCTTATAAAAGGACGGATATCATTCTAGTTTTTAGATGAATCGATAAAGTTGTAAGTACAACCATCCAATAAAACTTTTTTGATTTATTTAAGAGCATTAAAACTTGGTCAATAGCGTAGGAATAGACTCTTTAACTGACAAGATCTCAACTCTTTGAATACGACAAACTAAGAAAATAAAAGTAAAATACAACATGATATTTCGAGAGAAGTGACTCTAATCACGCTTATAAGGTTCATATCTCCTTTCTCAAGGCAACAGTTCGAGCCGATCTCATGACAAAACATTCAAAAAAAAAAAGTAAAATAAAATTTTATTTATATGTAAAATTTATATATTATATTTATATAAAATATTGATTATTAATTTTTTAAATTTTAATGATTGAGATTTATTTATTTTTTATTATATTTATTAAAGATAATTATTTTTTTATTTAAAAAATAATAATAAATTTCAACTATTAAAAATAAAAAATATATAAATATGATATATAATACTTACCTATAAGTAGGTCCCTCCTCATAAAATATAACCTCTCTTTATTTTGCATCTAATTTAATTAGATGATTTTAAATAGCAAATAGAAGACAATTGAAAATTTTTTTATTTTTATATGCGGATTTTGTTGAGTATCTCATTTAAATCACAAAAGAACTTCACTCAAAACAATTTTTTTTTTTTTTCAGTTTTTGTGCAATCCTAGTTTAAAGAACTAGCCGAAAACTCTGAACACAAAAAGTAACCTTGCCAAAGACGCTATTAATGTTTTGACATAGGTATCATACATCGGATATATATATATTTATATTTATTGTATATATAATAAAAAATAATTATCTCTTATCTTAAATCATATTTCACATATATATCATGCAATTCAAATTATTGAAAGTAAAAAATATAATTATTAAATTATTTAAGTCGTTGACTAAATATCGGTTATTAAAATGTACTTATTTTTTAAATATATTGCTCACAATGACTATTTTTGTAATGTTTAGGGATACTTTTTGACAATTAAACATGTGAAATGAAAGGCAGAGACCTATCTTATGATTTACTATATTCAAGTCATATAGTATTGTTGGAGTCATCAGAAATTAACTTCGCAAAATAATAATAATAATAATTAGAAGAAGAAGAAGAAGAAGAAGGACAGTTATACGGTTCACGAGAAGGACATGCACCGATAGTCTGATTACTGCCCTACTGATGCTAGTACCATTTACTGCTGTGCCTGTATCTGTGCGACCGAGTTCACAATCTTGGTGCCACTGTTCCAGACTTCATGCAGCAGCTTTGTCTTCTTGTCACTTGTTTCCACCGCCGCTGCCTCTTTCCACAATTGCTGCATGACTCCGGTGGCCGGTTTCACAATTCATGTTCTCTTTTTTGGCGGTCTTCCTCTACGCTTCTTGATCACTTTGGCATTTTCCTCTTTAGTTTCTCCTTTCTCTGTACTCAAACCCACCTGTGAATCACCTCTTTTATGTCCCCGATCGTTTGGTTTTCATCCATATTCGTCTTCAAATCCACGCTCTTCTCTTCTCTTGATTTCGGAGGTCTCCCATGCCGTCGTTTTTGTTGCTTCCACTGCAGCAGCTCTTCATCAGTTAAGGTCAGGAGGGGCTTGATTGAGAGTATCTCTGGCTCTGCAGCATTATCTTCGTTAACATTAATAAGCACCTGATGACCTTTATGGTTTTGATTCGGAAACGTGTAGCAGCCATCGGGAGCCAAAGATATGTCGCCCCTGAAGCTCATTCGGCTAAGATAGTGACAGAATATTGTAGGATGAGCCCATGGAAGATTATACTTCTTCGATTTAAGGTACGAAGAAATTGATGCTGCATTCGAGCAATCCCCATGCTTGTTCAGCTGTTCAATGGCTTTGTAGATCATCTGCCATTTCATTGTGCATTTCATGAAATGAAAAAGGATAACAGAGATAAGATTTTTAAAAAATCATGGTTAGTTATGTGATTACCTCTTCATAAGGTGGATGATCTGGGGTTGGATATTTAAAGAAGATTTCATGAAGGTGGGAATCCATAGTTGCAATGGTCTCCATTGAGAGTGGCTCCTCCGTAGAGGAGCTTGCAACGTTGACAATGGCTTCTTTTAGCCATTTCATGGGTTTTGAGTGGCGGCAGCCGCTGCCTCCTTCTGTGGTTGAGGATCTATCGCATCCTCGCCTTGAACACTCATGCTACATGTATTGGAGTTGGGGCGATTTTGGCTTTTCAGCTCAGGCAATTTGTTTTAACTTTTCGTCTTCCTTCTTTGGGTATATATATAATATAAAGATTGGGTGAAAGCTGTGTATGCATGGAAGACAAAATTAAAACCTGATTGGAAAAGTGAAGTTCCAAAAAAACCAAGGATTTTTTTCTATACAGAGGTTATGGATTCTACCTTAAATTTGCTACTCGTATTTTGTTTGATAATATTTTTTTGTGCTTCAGCCTTTAGTTTTTATATTTTTTTAATTATTTTAAATGTATATAAAATGTTAATTTAAATGAAAATTAAATATAATAAATATATTTTGAAAAAAAGAAAAAATCAACATATTCTAATATTTTTAAAAATATTAAATATCTAATAATAGTCATATGATAAATTTGATAAAATTAATACTCACACTATACCCCCTCAGCAGACGCAATTGAAAGAAATTTTTAATCTAGTGTTGAATCGTTTTGGTCTATTGAAGGTTGCTGCACTAACGTGGAGAGCACTTCATGATAAACTGCCAACAAAAGTCAATTTAGCCTGGAGGGACGTTATCAAGGATAGGAGAGAGACCATTTGCAACAGATGCCTTGAAAATGAGGGAACTCTTAGTCACTTGTGTTTTGATTGTATGCAATCTTGGAAGGTGTGGGCTTCATGTTACTATTGGTGGGGAATTTCTTCTGTTTCTGTGCATAACATCAATGAACATTTCAAACAACATGCTGGGTTAATAGGCAATATAAAATTCACAGAGGCATGGATGGTGATTTGGTATGCAATGATATGGTCCATATGGCTTCAAAGGAATCGGGTAACTTTTAATGATGGACAAGTCAAGGAAGAGGAGCTAGTGGAAATGGTAAAATATAGATCTTTTCAGTGGATTTGTGCAAATTTGGTTCCTGACTTGTCAATAGGGATGTCAATGGAGCCTCGCAAGGTCGGGGAGTCCCTCCCCATCCCCTGTAAGGATTTTTTACGAGGGGCAAACTTTGCCCCCCATCCCCATTTCCTGCGGAGATCCCCATTCCCTGTCAATTAATATCAAAATATATATTTTTTTACATCAAACATAAATCAAGACCAATTCAACATAAATAGTTAAATCAACAAACTTGTTCCAAACATAAATAAAGATTAATCTAACATAAATAGCTAAAGTAACATAATTGTTCCAAACATAAGCAAAAATCAATCCAACATAAATAAAATAACTAAACTAACATCTAGCATGAAGGGAGGTAGCCAACTCAAAACACCTGGGCAGTGTGGGTTCAACGATAGTCAACAACTCCAACAGCAGATTTGTAGCAGCATAAGCCAAAAGGTAGTGTGGGTTCAATAGCAGCAAAAGTTAGAAGGTAGTGTGGGTATGACAGTAGTCAGCAGCTCCAATAGCAGATCAATAGCAGCAGAAGCCAAAAGGCAGTGTGGGTTCGATAGTAGTTAGCAGCTCTACCAGCAGATCAATAGTAGCAGGAGCCAGAATGTAGTGTGGATTCGACAGCAGTCAACAGCTCTAGTAATAGAAGCTAGAAAGGGAGGGGAAAGTCGAAGATGAGGTCGTGAGAGTGACTGAGGAGAAATGAATAAGGATAGGGCGGCAATGGAGGGAATTGAGGGATTTAGGTTAGGGCGGAATGGAGGCAATAAGGTTAGGATTAGGGTTAAAAGGAGGATGGTGGGTTGGGTTGGGTTGGGTAAAATTTAATTTTTATTGAATTGGGTTTGGGTTTTTTTTTTTGAAGATTGAATTAAATTTAAAATAGAATTAGTTTATTTTTATTTTTATTTTTTGCGGGGATGAGGATCCCCAAAAGCCCTGCGGGGTGGGAAAAATTCCCCATGAAATTTTGCGGGGGGAAAATGCCCCCCATCCTCACCCCATGGGGAGGAATATTCCTTCTCGCCCCATCCCCGTGACAAGGATCCTCGTGGGGCTCTGTGGGGATCGGGGCAAATTGCCACCCCTACTTGTCAATTGAGACATGGAAGGCTGACCCAAGAACTGCTTTGAAACGGTATTAGTGTTGCTGCAAGTGTGACTTTATTGTTAAGGATGTAATTGGGAGTTGATTTTGTTTAAGATTGTAAATGAGTTTGGGTACCTCTTGTTCCCATAGACATAAAATTTTTTGGCTTACCAAAAAAAAAAGAGAAAAAAGATCCACACTATACCCTATACATTTAATAATTGTGATTAGATATCTTAATATTTTTAATAATATGATGTTTTAATTTTTCTTTTTCTCATATATTTTATATATTTTTAAGATATTAAAGAATTAAAAAATCTACAACTATAATTATAGATCAATTTTATCAAACTAAACCTAAAAGCATATGCAACCTTAGCATTAGATCGCGTGACTAATGATAAAAAATCCAAGGAATTTGTTTGGAATAAGCTGGGGAATTCTAGACTAATAAGAATATAGAAATAATTTGAAATTTTTTTTATCATATTGAGTCCACAAATTAGAAGAAACCTTCTTCTATTCCTTATCACATATTATATCATGCAAATATAAAACTTCTTTTTTTTTAGAACAATGAAAACACTTTTTCAGTTGTTAATTGTTATCTAAAAAAATATTTATAATATAGATAGAAAATTATTATCCTTAATTGAGAAAATCCCACATCAAAATAGTAAGAAGAACAAATGTTTTGCTTAGATATAAAATGAGCACCTCTAATTGGTTATTTATCTTATGTTTTGATACTCACGTCAAATTTTCACAACCATATATTTCAAAAAATTAAAATAAATCCTAATATAGTTGAAATTAAGAGTTGAAATAAAAGGAACTCAAACATGAGTAATAATTTTCATCTGAAGAAGCAGAATCAGAAACTAGCAAAAAAGGGATTCTTGATATCCGGCCTACATTAGAAACATTTCTTTTGTTAATTAATTGAGTTTAAAGAACCAAAACATTTCTTCGTTAATTAATTGAGATTAAGGAACCAACACAATATGGGGAGTTTTTTTTTTCCAATTTTTAAAAAAAAATTAAAACTAACTAGAGAATGAGTGTAATGTAAAATTTTGGATAAAACAAAACGAAAAAGAATTGTGGAAGCGAAAAAGAAATTAAAATGCGATATTATGCTCTGGACTTAATTCTACTCTCTCTAGGGTGAATGGTTTGCACCGTTAAAGTAGAATAAACCTAATCTAAGAAATATAATAACATTAATAGGGCCTGAAATACCTTTGCAAGGTCTTTAATGTAAAGACGATTGGCTTCTAATAAAGATGAAATTTAAAGTTGATTATAAAAGAAAAAAAAAATTGACAGTTTCATCAATTTCAGTGGTTGCCTTTATATCAGCTAGCTGTCTCAATCTTCTTTGCTTTGTTTTTGCCACAATCAACTCTTCAACTGTTGTGCCTCAATCATCTATAATCTCAAGCATCATCTTATGGTTGAAAGGATCAGTTTCAATCTTATCTGCAGCGTCAATTCTTTCTCAAAATTGAATAATCTAGCTAGCATCTTTGGAAAGAATCCAAGCAAGAGGGAAAGTAAGGGATATAAGCTTTCCAACTCTTATATTTTATTTGAATAATGATTTACGGGACCAAAATGGAATGCGAAATGGGGGACGACAAGAGAAACTAGTCAAGACACAAAATTACCAATTTAACCTACTTCCCTTGTCGTCTCTCAATTTCGCCTCCCATTTTCGGCCCGCAAATCATTACCCATTTTATTTTGCCATGTTTTTCCTATCTTTTATGTACCCGATTAATAAACTATGTTGTTTTAATGTTTGCTCACATGAAGTATTAGCTCTCGTATAGTTTGAATAATTGTTATGGATTAATTTACTAGCGTGTGAGCTAGTATAAAGCATGAGGGGAGTTCAACAAGAACAAATAGATAACTCGACAAAATAGGTAAATGTCAGCTAAATAGGTCCTGTAATTTTTTTAAAGTTGTAATTATATTAATAATATATTAGAATCTGCTTTTGAGAGAGAGAGAGAGTCAATCCTGAAACTTAATTTCATCTCACCGAGAGTGCCATCATTTTACTTCTCCAAGAGAAGAGTGGCGACTCAGGCAACACAGGTGATTGGCTAAATGGGTAGCTTGGTATGACAGTAGAAGTGTAGAACATTAGCTAATATGGTAACGTAGATTTCTTTGTGGTTTTTTTGGCCAAGGTGGTTGGTTGTTATTACTTATTACAGTAAATGTCAAGCAAATAGGTGGCTTGACATAACGGTAAAACATCACCTCCCATTTTCTTGCTCATCATTATTCTATTTAACTAAATGAAATTTCTCAGTAATTATAAATAAATAGTAGTATTAAATTAAATCAAAATTTTCAATAACCATAAATAAATAAGGTGGGAAAAATAAATTAAAGAGGGTTAATTTAGATGATGGATTATCAAAATATAGTGCTATTAATCCTAACTCTCGGTCCTGCTTTTTCTTATTTTCTTTTTCTTCCTAACTGTTGCCTCTCCCCTTAGAAATTAGGGTGGATAGACAAATATGAGAGTTTTCAATTCTCTTGTGGGGGTTTTCTTCCTCTTTTGCAGAGATTTCTCTATTCTTGTCTTTGTTTTTTATTTTTTTTTTATTAAGATTTACTCTTATAAGAAGAAAATGACAACTAAAACATGAAATTGGTTGGGCTCACATTTAGCATGTTTGGGACAAGATCCCTAGCTACATTTTCCTACCTCATGAACCAATCTATCTTTTGTTAGATGGACTATATTAGAACACAGTTTTAATCCTAAATCTTGAGTTTAGATTTGGGTGTGATGTTTATATAGGTATTAGATTATATATTATTATATTCGAGTTGATCTTGTAACTCTCTTATGATTTTCTTATATTAATAAAATTTTATTTTTCATAAAAAAACCTAATTCTTAGAGTATTTAGGATATTAATTTGAAATTAACTATTAACAATTTCATTTAATTTAATGAATTAAAAATATTTGAATTATTAATAATTATTATTATCCGTTAGATTAAATGAAACCATTAATTACAAATTTTAAAATTGTTGATAGCAAATTTCTAACTAATATAATTTAACATTTTAAATATAATAGATAATGAACATTTCAACACATATAGTTATAATATTAACGACTTGTTAATCCAAATAAAAAAAAAAACTTAGTTTTTCTTAAATAAAGATTCGAGTTTCAATTTTATGAATAAAAAATGATATACTAAAAGAATTTTTCTTTATAAGATATAACGCGATTCAACTCCAAATTAATTGGAGATGAATGCTTACAAAAAATTAGTAAAAAAACCAAAAACATAGTTATAGTAATTATTTTATTTATAATCCATTAATTTACCCAAATCGCTAATCATTAATTTCAAAAGCTTTATATTAAACTCCAAGTAAATATTTTTTTACCTTCCCTCAAACCATGTAATTTTTATTTTTTGATTTTTTTAATTTATCGAATAATATGATGTTTTATAACTCCAACTATAAACCATAATCACCAGTAATTAAAAAAAGAAAGAAAGAAAAAAAAAAGAAAAAAAGAGCTTTCTATTATAAAAATACGGGTTCTAACTTCTAAGTCCAACTTCGCTTGTTTGTCGCAGCCCAAAGCAAATAACGTTTCGAATCCTATCCAAATCCCGTTCCTTTCTAGATCTCACATCATCATCTCAAAAAATTACAATTCCTTACTCACGCTACTCCAATTCTGCCCCTACCCCTTTTACACCAAAATTAAATTCCACCTTCCTTCCTCTCTTCTTCACTTCCCAATACAAAAATATCTCTTTTTCTTTACCAAATAACCCCGCGATTTCCTTTCTTTCCTGCCCCCAATCTAAATCCATGGACCCTGTTTTCTCCATCTCCATAGACCCAACTCCTACCTTCCCTCCTCCTACCTTCTTCCCCGTCATCCCTACCACCACCACCGCCTATGCCGTCAACCCTGCCCCAACGGCCTATCCTATCAACCCCACCCCAACTGCCTATGTCGCCAATCCCACCCCAACCATCCCTCCCACCTTCAACCACCCTTCGTATTCAGAGGTATAACAATCCCGACTCTCTCTAACACTTCTACTTCTCTACTCTCTGAAGCTAATCCTTGTTTCTCTTTTGTTGTTAGATGATATTTGAGGCGATTGGGGCTTTGAAGGAGAGAGATGGGTCGAGCAGGAGGGCCATAGCAAAGTACATAGATGGAGCCTACAAGAACCTGCCGCCGACGCACTCTGCCTTGCTGACACACCACTTGAAGCGATTGAAAAACCATGGTCAACTAGTTATGGTCAAGAAATCTTACAAGCTTTCTAGATCTGAAAATAATCTTACGGATGCTTCTGCTCCTGATGCGGTCCTTGCACCTGCTCCTGCTGCAGCTCTTGCTGGGGCTAAGAGAGGTCGTGGCAGGCCTCCCAAACCCAATCCCACGCTGACTCTAGCTGTCGAGCCCATTTCTCAGGCCGGTGTGGTCGGTTCCGGGCTTGCTGGTGCTGATGGGAGTAATGTTCAACTTCAGTCTGCACCTGCTGTGGTTAAGAGGACTCCGGGTCGTCCGAGGAAAAATGGGTCTGTCGCCGAAGGTGGGTTTAATAAGGGTCTGGGTCGCCCACCTAAAGGTGCCGCGAAGAAGAAAGCTGGTCGTCCGAGAAAGGCTACGGCTATGGGGGTAAGCACTGCGGTGTCAGCGAATGGGGTGAAGAAGGGCCCTGGACGCCCGGCCAAGGCCAAGGCTCAGTCGTCAGTGGAACTTCAGGCCCAGCCCATTGTTGTTCCTTATGCTAATGATGCCTCTGGAGCTGTCGACGTTCCTGACATGCCTAGGCCTAGAGGAAGGCCGCCCAAGGCTGCAGTTTTGTCTGCTTCTGTGGGAGGAGCAGTTACCGGGAAGCGGAGAGGTCGGCCACCAAAGGTTGCGGGTGTCAGTAAGCCCATGAAGCCTAAAAAGTCTACGGGCAGGCCTGTGGGACGCCCAAAGAAGGTACTCTGCCTATTTTTTAGACTTACAGCGCCTTTTGTTTAAGGGGAACAATTTATATTGCTTCAATAATTTCTTTATGCACATCTTGACATCATTTCAATGCAATAAGAACATAAAGGGGAAGAGTGAAACAAGGTAGTTGCGGTTGAAACTTTGATTTGGGGTAAGGTGAGGGTTCAAACCAAAGCTCTAGAATTGCTAAGCAATTAACTTCAAATGTTGGTTTTGTATAGAATTTTATTAGTAAACATAAGGGACGATGAGTAATAGCCACTTTAATGTTATTTGCACCTATTAAAAGAAGCTAGCTAATACCTTTTAGGTCTATTTGGCGCATTATGTGGCTATTGCATGGAAATTGCTTGTGAGTAATGGACTAAAGTAAAAACTGTTACATACTCTAGAGCCATATTGCCACCTTTTTCACGTAGTGCAGGTTCATCTTGTCATAAACTGCTTATGTATCCACTTTTTTTTTTTTTTTGTATTTGTGATGATGGGGTATAGAATAGAGGAGCTCTCCTTTTCCTACATGAAGGCTCAAGTTCTTAAATGTTGGAACATCCTTTAGGGGACATCCACTAAAGCCTTTTTATTGTCACTAAAATAGAAAATGTAATGGCTGTATAATTTACCCAATGTGACCTAAGTACTTTCTATATCAGTGCCTTTTTTCTTTTCATTCTCATGTAGGCGGTGTCTGGCAATGTTTGTTGTGTTTTCACTTATGGCTTTTTGTTTACGAATTTTTTATTTTTAATTTATGATAATGAAACAAAAAATGAAAATCTTTTATGTTCCAGCTCTATAAGAAAAGATAATTAGATAAAAAGGAAGAGAATGTTATGCTTTTGGTGAGGTGGGTGATGCATGTTTTCAATTTGTTTAAAAAAAGTTGAAAACATGATTTTGTTGTTTTCGTGAATTTTGAAATCCTTCAAAATGTTTCAAAAAATTGGAAAAAAAATGCTTCTAAATTTTGGGAAATGAAAGTAGAAAATTGAAGCAACATGATTCAACATACCAATGATAAGAAATTAACCATTTAATAGCTATTCGGTGAACCAAAGTTGGCCAAAGTTGTACAAACCAGAACAGAGATTTTAGATTGGAGTATGCCACTGGGAACTTTTATGAAGTTTACATTGAGGCCTTCTTTAGCATCCACTTCTACGGAGTACCGAGGGCATTTCCAGGGAAGCTGTCATGCATTTATAACCTACTTGGTGCAGGATTTTTAATTTCCTGGCACAAATCTCAAGGCATCAAACCATCAATGTAGTTGGTTATGCAAGAGAAAAAATGATTTCATGGGATATATGGCTGGTTATAAATGGGATTAGTTATGTTGCCTTGGGGTTTGTGCCAAGAAATTAGAAATTTTGAGCCAAGTCGGCCATACTTGAATTATCAGCTTCCTTGGAACTGCCTTCTAGGCAAGTGAATACCAAACACGACCTGAGTATGTAGTAATAGCTATTGCAAATTTATTCACAGTTATTGAAAAGCTAGGTTTGCCAATAAAAATTAAAAAGCTAGGTAATAACAGTTAGGTTATATTTGTTACACTGTTTGATTATTACATTGCTATTGATTTTAGAAAATTGTGCACCCCACCGTTGATGGGTGGGCAACCTCCATTTTTGTTATTTAAAATAAATAAAAAAGGAAAATGTAAAATAAATGCGTTTCATGGAGGGTAGGTAAATTCCTTGCTAACTTGAGCACAGTATGATCAGCTAAGAGGAAGAGGGAGTGAAGAATAAAGTGGAAAGGAAAGCAAGAGGGCTCTTCACTCTTTTAGTTCCTCTCTTAGAACTTTCCTAGGAATTTTAGAAATTCTCGAAGGCATTTATGCTATGTAATTTTGGGTGTTATTCTGTTTGAGTACACTCTGACCAAATGGCAAATTACTTTGAATTATAGCATAATTTTTTTGTAAATTGTAATTTTTTCTTCTTAATTTTGGGTACTTGTAAAATTGATGGATTATGTTTGTAATCTTGAATGAAAATAATGCCCAAGCCTAGGACAAATGCCCGTGAGAACTCATTGGGAATCATGAAAAAATGCTAACTTGCTAAGAGGAGAGTTAATATTTTTTGAAGACAGTGAAGAGCTCTTGTGCTTTCCCTCTCACTCTGTTTATGCTTCTCTCCAGTTTACTCATCATGCACTGCTCAGGGTGCAGGCTGTTGAGTGTGCAATTGGCTTTGTCTATTTCCATACTCAACAAACACACACAACTTCCATTCATAAAATGCATTCCCATTTTCTTCCTCTTGATTTTTTTTTTTTTTTTTTTTTTTTTTTTGTTTTTTCATTTTCTGTAAAATAAAAAAATGCAGCTAGATGGGTCCAAGTCAGCCAATTTTTGTATGTCTCTTGGGTGAGTGTATAATATATATTATAAAGCCAAATAAAGGCAGAATCAATACTCCATTAGGTCAAGCTCAATATATATACATGTATTCAAGAGTGTATTGACAAATCTAACCCTATGTCAAATATAAAGTTTTCTTATTTGTTTGAGACTTGGGAGCAGGTTGAAACTGTACCTAAAAATAGGTTCAGCTAATATTGTAATAGCTGTATCATAGCATTATTCATACCTGCTCGGATAATTGCCAACCTATTTAACTAGGAAAATGCTGGCTAGGCAACTATGTTGGTGCCAAAACATGTTATTGGCCAAATTCAATAGTTGATAGGATCCTTCCCTTTCTTCCTTTTTCTCTCTTATCTATTATTTTTACTTCTCTCTCCTCAAAGTCACTTGTGGGGAAGGTCTACTGTGGAACCATGACATGATGTTCCAAGTGGAACCAATGAAGTTCTGCCATGTAAATAAAGTAATGTGGTTCCCATTCTTAGTCATCGGGACTTGCATGATTTAATGTGCAAGCTATTTTTTGTAACATGTCAAACTTTCTTACTAGTGGGACCCTCCTGCTAAAAAAAAAAGAGGAAGAAAATAAAAAACAGACTGAAAGTGACCTATTGAGTGTTACAAACCAAATAACATGGCAAATTGTAATTGGAGCAGATCATTTTTCTTTGAAGTTTTTCATTCAGTCACTGAATTTATTAAGGTTAAGGATTTGATTCTCTAACCTTGACCCCTAATTAAGGTTTAAAGTTTATAGGTACCAACTTGGCCAACCTCTTGTTGGTCAAGCTCTTGTTGGTCATATTTCTAGATATTTGATTGAAGGTTCACAAGTTTAATTGAGAAATTAATCTTTTTAAGACAATGAATGAATGACTGACTGATATAGCCTAGGCAAGCTGGTCAAGTGAATTGCCAGTCTTGACATAGCTTGCTGATCTGCTGAGTTGAAGTAACTCAAGTAGCATTAGGAGCCAACTTTGAATCTGCCAATTTTCTTCTCAAATAGTTTGTGAACTTAACCAATTAGTTTTGTTTGATTTTCTGCATAATTGTTTGAGGTAATTCCTGGGTCAATTATCTGATGCAGTTTGCATTGCATATTCAGCTTTCAGCTGTAATATATTTATATTTTATGCATGTGTACTAATCTAATTTCATTGTTCATATGCCCTTTTTTTAATTATTATAAGACAATTGAAGGACCTGCACAACAGGCAGCATTAGCAGTGGCGTATGGAGATCTTCAGAGGAAGCTTGAATTTTTTGTAAGTAAAATATTTTCCTTTGCTTGTGCTTCCTAATTTGTGCTGGCTGTGGTTGGTGAAGTTCCATTGGTTCATTTATTATGCTGGTGTTATATTTACAGCAATCAAAAGTCAAGCAAGCAGTTGGAGTGCTAAAGCCTCAGTTCACCAGCGAAAGCAATATCAGCACAGTGGGTGCAATCCAAGAGTTAGAAGGGCTTGCAGCAATGGACATTAGTGTATCCTTTAGGGAGGAAGCTCAGCCACATTCATTGCAAAGTTAAGGACAACTGCACAAGTGCATCATATCTGCCCATTTATGTTTGATTAGCGGTATCATTTTAAGAATCAATTAGTGTAGAAATGTTCTGACCTAGAAAAAGAGAATTTTCTGTAAAGGTAGTAGGAGGTTGCTCGTTTAATTAATTGCAATTGTTGATTGAAGCATGTAATTTCTGTAACCTACCGTGACTATTGCCTGTACCAATTTCAAAATTTCAACCCAATTTGACAACAATTTAATCAGCCATTGACATACATGGACATCCCAAGAGCATATTGTATTGTTTGACTCTAATTGGAGTGCAACGCGTTACATTCTCACTGTTTGCAGATATTGAAATGGTTTGCCTGTGCCTTTGGAGAAAAATTAGAAAAGGGAAATGTTAAATGTCTGCTTTTTCTTTTGTCAGGATACATGGATGAATGAAAACAGAGATAATAACGCTCGTCTGTATCTCTTCTTTACCAGCTATATATGCATGTTTAAACTTGAATTTGGAATCACCGAAGGCAAAATGATTAATGGATTCGTGGTTATTAGATCCTAACAGGAGTTCTATAAGATAATGTCAACCATGATTGATCTTGCCCTGTTCATCAAAGTAATGTAGAGTCTAGCAAGTTTACTGATAGGCGTGCTGAGATTTCAGATCATACAATTATGAATTTTTAGGGGCAGAATGTCCAAATCTTCCCCTCAATTAAGGGGCTAAATTGTCCCCCCAGCTAATTGATTTGGACAAATTACCAAAAGATGCCTAAAATCGTGCTGTGTCAACGATCCGTTGAACATGGGGTTTGTAGAAATTAACAAAAATTGCTAGCCTTGTGAATTCTGAGCAAGGTTTTTAGTCGAACTCGAACCTTGTAAGATCATAATAACTTAATATTTACTAAATGTTCATTTACTAAATAAGATCATAATTACAGAGTTCTATGTAGGGTTTTAACCCACGCCAAGCACCAAAGATGCCGAGTTTTCCTTATTTTCTAAATCAACATTTCTCCAAGAAAGAAACTATTTTTTTCTTCACTATAGTCACCTCAAGTGTTTATTTGATTTGAGAGGGGATCATTTCAATCAATCAAATTAATTTGTGCCTCAGACTAAACCCCCTGTAAGAGAGTGAAAATTTTCTTGAAATTTTGATATAATTATTATTAGCACCTTTTTATTATAAATAAATTCATTTATTAATAATAATAAATTGTAATGATTATAAATTAATTCATATGGTATAGTGCATGAGAAGTGTTACAAAATTTAATTTTAAAAATGTAATATACTTAATAAAGCATATGATAATAGAATAATTTAATGATTACATTGATATTATAATCAAAGTCAGATTTTGATTTAACAATAAAATCATAAGTTAGCATAATTTTTTAAACCAAAAATAAAAAAATAATTGTTAAAATAATACGTTATTAAAATATTCTAAAACAACGCCATACACACCAATTACTTCTCTCTCTTTGAATTTTTAATACGAAAGATATAAAATAAAAATAAATCCGACATTAACTATATCTAGAAAGATAAACTCCTATACAAACCAACCTTAAGGAGTGGCAAGAAACAGTGAAAAAACCTTAAGAAATAAAATAAAATGAAAAAAAAAAAAAGAGAAACAAATAATAAAGGTTAAATCCCCATTTTGATCCCTTTACTTTGATAAAAAAAACCTCTTTTTTAGTCCTACTTAAAAAAGCCCTATTTTAAACCCTAAAATTTGAATTTGACCCTCTTTTTAGTATTTTCGTTAAATTTTACATACGTAACACGTTAGATAATGAGAATTTCAAAATAGAGAGATCAAAATGAAACTAAAAATAGCTCCAATTTGATTCATCTATTTTGGAAAAAAAACTCACTTCTATCTCTCTCTTTTTTATGAAATTTTTGTCATTTAACATCAAAATTTAACAAAAGATTAAAAAGGGGTTGGATTTCAAATTTTAAAAACAAAAAAGAAGACATTTTGAAGTAGAAGGATTAAAAAAACTTTTATCAAAATAAAGAGACTAAATTGAGGTTTTAACCAATAATAAGAGAGACAAAAATAAAAAAGGAAGGATGGGAGCAACCGAAGAAGAGAGGTGCGGAGGGGCAGCTGGGAATCTCACCCCCACCCCCTCCCCCTCCTCTTTTTTTTTTTTTTTTTTCCAAATCAACGTTCTACAGTTAATACTAATTAACACCGTTGAGATAAATTTTATAACTTTGTAAGAGTAAAACAATGCTTAAGGCATAAGGCATAAATAATTACTTTATTTAATTTTGAATTGATTAACATAAACAGCACGTTATCTCCTTGTTTTCTCGGCACGATGACATCAGAGACATGAATTGATAATTTGAAAAAAGTTGTAGAAAATACTTTAAAATGAAATGCGATGGTGAAAAGATCTCTTCCACGTCTTCAATGTATTAGGGCTTCGATAGATCTCTTTGTTTCTTTTTAAGGTAGACGTTGCATTTTGATCACATAGGTCCCAAGCCATGGGCTGGGGCCATTCCCCCTAGCCACCCCGGGTCCCAAGTCACGTCTTGGTCCTACGCACCCCAATCTAAGGTTGTGACCCGAGATACACCTCAAGTCCGTGTTGTGCACAGTGCCACATCGGAATTAGATCAAAGTAAAAAAACAGTTTTGATTCATATCAAGAATAGTTATTGTCATCAATTAAATTATTAAGTTTACTAAATTTACAAGTTAAAATTTAAACTACCATAGAATTTGGTAAAGAAGCTTCGTAAATTAAAATGAAAAAATTGTAAATTTTGTGGTCTTAACCATACTAGTTACTAGTAGCAATAACCATTTCAGTCCAGATCGCCCCACGAGGCTCCTCAGACTCAAGTTGTGCACTGTCACGCCTCGAGCCACCTTTTTTTTTTTTTCTTTGAACATTAGGGTTTTGATGGATGAGGATGTTTTTCGTGTGAGGAGAATTAAATTTTTTATCAATTAAATTTAAATACTTAAAATTTAAGGACGAATTATTTAAACGAAGGCCTGATTCGCCTCAAGCCACTTTGAGTAATTGTCACTTCCCAGCAATAGCTAATCAGCAGAATGGGTTATAGAGAAGTAATAATTAATTAGAAAAGATAGGATGACAGCAAAGCTTAGGCTTTTTCCAAGCAAAGATATTGTGCCACTTCTTACTTTTGGCATTAAAGGGGTGGGAGTTGAGCTGGGACAAACAAAGCCGCCCATCCACTAATGGACACCAACTAACATCCATGTATGGATCTTGACGCCTCCTCCTCCCCCTCCTCTTCTTCATTTATTTATTTATTTTATAATTTTATTATTTGTACTTAATTATTAATGGAAAAATTTTGTCATCAGTGTGATGAAGATAGCAGATTTTGTTGTTGAACCACAAAATTAATTTATTGCTTGAAAGTTTTGTTTTTAAAAAAAATTATTTTTTACATAAAAAACAAAAGAAAAATAATGATCAATAATGAAATTAATTCAAATAAGTCATTCAAACCATGTTAAGGATTCAAATTTAAATTTTTAATGCTATTTAAAATTAAATGTAACTCATTTTAAAAAAATATATCTGTCGTTTTTAAAAAATAAAATATTATCCGATACTTAATAATAAGATCAAAATCATGTTGAGGATTCAAGTTTAAATCTTTAATATTATTTAAAATTAAATGTAAATAATTTTAAAAATCCTACTTGTCATTTTTAAAAAATAAAATCTTATCTGATAGTTAATAATAAGGTCAAAAGCCAGGAAAACCATGCCATTCATTAAAAAAAAAAAAAAGTTAGTGCTTTTTTCTTAAATGACTTGAAAAGTGCATTATAATTGAATTCCGTATAACCTAAGAATTCATTGTGTATATAGGCTTCTCTTTCAATGGAATTGCTTGCCCATTTGTAAAAGAGTAGGGATTTAATTATATATAAG